GAAGCCCGACTGGTATGGGTCTAGATAGACTGCTTCATCCAGGTGCCGAGGGAATTGCCGCGCAACCACACTCTCAACAACCTTCGCCGCAAAGCGAAGGTTGGAGACTGGACGATAATTGGCCAGTTCATCTGGGTCCAGGGAAGGCTTCTTGAGGAGGGGCCTCACAACGGCCTCCTTAAGGGCCGCAGGAAAGGCGTCCTCCTGCAAAGAAGCGTTAACAATTCCCTGGAGCCAGGCTCGTGTACCCTCCCGGGCTGCCAGTACCAGCCAGGAGGGGCACTCCTACACTAAGAGTCAGTTCAGGGAATGTTTTTAACAATTGGTTAATTTTTATTGATGATGGATTATTTGAAGAATATAAATGTTGAAAAAACAGTTTAAATTGATTTGGGCCACATCTGATTATTGCTAATTTTAACTGCATTAACACGTGTATTGCCACTGGTGAGGACAGCATGTTAAGTTTTCTACTCTTCCCTTGATCCAACTTGCCAGTTAATATATAGCCAGTTTAATATAGCCAGTTACGCTTGCTAAATATTTTATCATATAAAAAAATTAGTAAAGCAGTATGTTCAAGAAAGAAACTCTATGCAAAGGAGAAGGGATTAATGTCTACTTGGAAAACTTGAAGAAGGTTGAGGAGGCTGTCCATGAGGAAGAACAGAATGAGAAATAGTAATTGGACAATTAATAAAACAAGCTAAAAACAACTAAAGACAGAATGGGACAAACATGCTGTGGGATATCTAAACACTTGGCATATATGTCAGAGCAAATGAATAAACAAGCTAAGGAAATATCACGGCAAATAGCAGATAGTGTTCAAAGAGCCTGCAATGCTTATAATATGGCTACAAATAACACTCTTGACATAGACAAGACTGAAACGTGTGTTTCTGAAATAAAGATTGAACTGGCAGATTTACTGGATTGTAGCAAGAGAAATAATGTATGGATTAAAGAAGTGGCAGAGAAAAGCCGAATAAATAATTTGACTACTTATCTCATTTCTAAAATTAATGACCTGAGCTCTAATATGAAGTTGATGGATAAAGATATTGAACAAGCTCACTGGGTTTACTTTCCTAGTAGCACACAAAACCTATAGACATTTTTATTAGAATTGTGAGCTCAAATATGAAAGATAACATTATAAGAACAATATGTAAACTGAAGGTGATTAAATGGGGCTGTGAGAGAATATTGTTCTTTCAAGCTATCAGTGTAATTGAACTGCAGCAAAAAAAAGAAATTTAAGCTACTGATAGAAAAACTTATGCAGAATGAAATTAGATACAGATAGGACTTTCCTTTCAAGTTAACTGTTTTTATATCAAAAAGACAAAAAGTTATTTGAACTCTGAGATGCAGATGGGTGAAGGAAGGTATCTATCATTTGCCTTTGGAACTGTGGAAAACAGAATCAACTAGTCTACACAGGGCTTTTTTTCTCATAGAACGCCCAGAACGGAGTTCCGGCACCTTTTTTGGATGGAACCTTGTAGGGTAGGCAAGGCGGGTTGTATGATGTGTGTGAGTTCTGGCACTTTTTTTTTTTTTTTAGAAAAAAAGCACTGAGTCTACAAGCAGAAGATTAGTTAAGAATACTGCATTGAGCTATGGAGTACCAGAAATTATATTGACTGTTTTTTTTTTCTTTTTGAGTCTTCAGATTCTGAGCAAAGAGAAAAAGGAGGGAGTTAAATAAGTAAGGAGAATGTCAGGTACAAGGAACTAGAATAATACTGGAAATTGAGCAGAGCAATATGCTTATTGCTACTAGCCTATTTACAAGAATCTAGCCAAATTACACTAATTACAGAATAACTAGATAAGCACTCCAAAGTTCAAGGAGGATCTGTCTTCTGCTGTTTCCTCCCCTGCAATGATTCCAGGCTAGCCAGTCTTTTAGTTCCTCCCACAACTTTAGTTGTAGATTACACCACAGGGGAAGAAATACATCAGATAATAATGTACATAAATCTATGGTTAAGGAACTAATGTAATTAAAATAGGCTGCAGTTGGGAATTGCCCTGGTACAAAACAGATAGAAAAACAAAGATGGTTGTTGAATTGGACTGTATTTGAGCACATTTAGCTACAATACTTTGTACATATGGTTTGTGGCTTTATAAATCATCCCACACTTTCATTGCAGATCTCTCTTTATTACTCCTACTTGAAAACTTCCTTTTTGATTTCTAGGTAACTGTACCTCTCCAGTACCACCACCCCACTCAACACTAAAGGAAGATCCCCCCCAAAAAAGTTATCCAGTTGGGACGAACCTGACATACCATTGCATCACAGGTTATGAATACATACCTGAAATTAACCCTTCAGTTACATGCCTGAACACTTCAAAATGGTCTGAAATTTCAGAATTGTGTCAGGGTGAGTATCTTCATGATGGTTCCATTCTGAAAAACATATCATCTGTGTTCACATTTCCTATATCTTAGTCTTTGCTTGCTCCTCCCAAACATCAATATAAATTAGTTGTTACTAATTTAACAACTGCAGTGATTCACTTAACAACTGTGGCAAGAAAGGTCGTAAAATGGGGCAAAATTCTCTTAACAACTGTCTCACTTAGCAATGGAAATTTGGGGCTCAATTGTGGTCATAAATCAAGGACTTGTAGTGTTGGAATTATGAAATATCTCCACTGAGCACTTGCTTCATTAGGCTAAACATATCTACTTTCCTTAGCCATTCATTCTATGACTTAGTCTCTAGCCCTCTTACCATCTTTGTTGCTATCCTCTGCACTCTTATTTGGGTCTAAGCAGTGGTGGGATTCAGCCAGTTTGCACCACTTCGGCAGAACCGGTAGCTAATTTCTTGTTGCTCAGGCCCAGAATGGACTTCCAGAAGTGGCATCCACACAGAGAACCGGTTGTTCACATATTTGAATCTCACCACTGGGCCTAAGCATCTTTTTTATGTCATGGTGACCAGAACTGGACACAGTATTACAAATGTGGCCTCACTAGTGTAGTATAGGATTTAGAATTTAGGTTAACATTACATCTTGGACATAGAACTGCAGCATTTCCACATGATAGGTTTTCTCTCTGTGGGGAACCTTTATTTCCAATCCTCGGATGTACCAGATCTGCATCATTTCTATACTTTTCTGAGAAACCGCATAATAACATACATGTTAATTATTCTTCCAGGGAAAAAATGTCCTGCTCCAATTATAGAGAATGGCAAGGTAGATGCTGAGGATGACATCCGCCTTGGTGGCAGTGTCACTTTCTCCTGTGTACCTGGGTGAGTTGTAGTTCATCTCTTAAAATAGTTGCCTTAGAAACAATAGCCACAAAAATCAGTTAAAAGTAAAATTGAATTTGTTCTAAATTGTTCTTCTCAAATGTAATATATAAACAGTCTACCTCCTTAGTTTTTGTATATAAATCAAGAAAAGTACGTCTACCTGCTGCTTTTATATACGAATATAAATCATTTAGTGCGAAATAAAATGAGTCCTTTGCTCCCAACTGTGGAACATTCACCTAGACAGCATTTGTTCTGCTTGTCTGAGACTTTTTTAACCCGCTTCTTAAAAACTGCTTCATGGGACTCCTGCTTCTTTAATACTCTATTTTCTTTAAATATTTTTATCATCATTATTTTGTTTATTTATTTGATCATTTATCAAATTTAAATACCACTCATCTTGCTCTCTTATAATTCTTAAGAGATAACAACATAAGATTTAGAAATGTACATTCTGAATTTCTTTTTCTTTTTGTTTAGGTTTAGGCTTATTGGTGAAGCTACACGTAAGTGTATTCTGAAAGACGGCAAGGTTGACTGGAATAGCGCATTGCCACATTGTGAACGTAAGAAGAGATTTTGCTTTAAACTCATTAAAGTTTATGCCAGTATTGTTTGGTGCAGCTTCCAAAAAGGTGCAGTGTAATGTCTACGCTAAGATACAAGGGGGAAAAAATCTAAGGATTCCTGAATGTAAAGAGTGCAGGCAATCCTCCCTTAATAACTATTCATTATTCACTTAATGAGAATTTGACAGACAGAAAGTTACGACAGAGTCAAAAAAATGTAGTTATGACCTGTCGTTGAATTTACAAGTGGTTCATACAGATCCCCTCAACCCATTTCAGGAGTTCGGAAATTGGGTCATATTTTATAACCAGTTGCAGCATCCTGAAGTCATAGTGACTTTGATTCATGACTTTCTATTTCCAGCAGAAAACAGCAAAAAGGCATATTGGATATGCTGGATTCATTTATCAACCAAACTGTTCACTTAACAACCACATGATTTGCTTAACAACTGTGGTAATTTACTTTATGACTGCTGTAATAATTTTAAAACTGAATCAGGTCACATAGTGGCCTGCTTAAAAATAGCAATGACAAACAATGCTGATTGTTAAATAAGAGCTACCTGTACTGTAGAGAATGGGTTCCTTCAACATTTTGGTTTAACTAAACAATGTATTACTGTTCTTCATCTTGAAAGTTCCACAGCTTTCCATACATAACAACCTATTGCTATTCCTGAGAATTGGAAGCTTAGCCCAAATTTCTTGTATTAATGCTTCTGCTTTATTACTAAGATTGGAAGATATATTCATCAACTAAATAATCTATTAAACTGCCAAACCATTTTTATACTTCCCCCATAATAATTATCAGTCCCACTGTTGCCTAATCTATGTTGCAGTAATTCCCCAATATCTCCAAAATAAGCATGTCTCAATTCTATCAATATAATGAAAACATCTGTTCTAAGAATTAGCAAAATCCATTTTACAGCTATAGCCTTTGATTGCAACAATGGCTAGGTGAATCCAAATGATTGTTTGTTTGTTTGTTTATTATTTAATATCTATGCCTCCCATCTCATTACTATAGTGACTCTGGGTAACATACAATATAATAAAGAGTTAAAAAGTGTTGTAACATGATTTCTCCTCTGCTAAATGCAAAGTAAGTTTTTTGCTCTCAGTTGGTGGAAGGAATAGAATAGAGCTAGAAGGGACCTTGGAGGTCTTCTAGTCCAGCCCCTTGCTCAAGCAGGAGAACCTATACCATCTCAGACAAGTGACTGTCCAGTCTCTTCTTGAAAACCTCCAGAGATGGAGCACCCACAATTTCTGAAGGCAAGCTGTTCCACAGGTTAATTGTCCTCACTGTTAGGAACTTTCTCCTTAATTCCAGGTTACTTCTCTCTTTGATCAGTTTCCAACCATTGTTTCTTGTCCTGCCCTCTCGTGCTTTGAGGAATAATTTGACCCCCTCTTCTTTGTGGCAGCCTCTCAAATACCGGATAACTGCTATCATGTCACCCCTATTTCTTCTTTTCTTTAGACTAGCCAAACCCAAGTCCTGTAGCTGTTCCTCATATGTTTTAGTCTCCAGGCCTTTGATCATCTTAGTTGCTTTTCTCTGATTTTTTTCCCCCAAAGTCTCAACGTCTTTTTTTTTTTTTGTAGTATAGTGACCAAAATTGGTTGCAGTATTCCAGGTGTGGTCTCACTAGGGTTTTATAAAACAGTACTAATACTTTGCATGATCTTGATCCTATGCCTCTGTTTATACAACCAAGGATTGTATTGGCTTTTTTGGCTGCTGCTGCACATTGCCGGCTCATAATCAAGTGATCATCCACTAGGACTCCAAGGTCCCTTTCACAGTTACTTTTTTTGAGCCAAGTCTCACCTAACCTGTACTTACTGTATATCTTTGATTTTAACTGCCTAAATATAAAACTTGTTTTCTCCACATTAAAACTCATTTTGTTGGATAGGGCCCATTGTTCCAATTTGTCAAGATCTTTTTGGATCCTGAGTTTGTCTTCTGGGATGTTGGCTATTCTTGCCAGTTTAATGTCATCTGTAAATTTGATGAGTTCCCCTTTGATTCCCTTATCTAAGTCAATGATGAAGATATTGAAGAGTACTGGACTTAAGACAGAGCCTTGTGGTACCCCACTGCTTACTTCTCTCTATGTGGATGTAGTACCATTGAGGACTACTCACTGAGTACATTTTGTCAGCCAGCTATAAATCCATCTGGTGGTGATGCTGTCTATTCCACCTTTTTCTAGCTTACCAAGTAGTAGATTGTGGTCTACTTTGTTCTCTGGATGATTATTTACTTGCCTGTAATAACCCCTTGAAATAGCCAGAATATTCTTCCAGTGCCAACGTATGGCTGTAATTCTAATTAAAAGGTGAATTCAAAGACATTATTCTCTCCCTCAGACATCCCTTGTAAGCGTCCTGACAATATTCTCAATGGACAATATGACCCTAACCCTAAAGACGAATATTACATTGGATCAGTAGTAATCTATAGCTGCAAGCGTGATTTCTCCCTGATTGGAAATTCAACGATCACATGCGTAACTGCAGAAGATGGCCTAAATGGAAGGTGGAATTTCCCTGCCCCTGAATGTAAACGTAAGGAAAAATAGAAGTGTCTTTAAACTCTAATTAGCTAAATTGCTTTTTTAGTTGCTGTTGTTGGTAAATAAAATTCTTGCAGGAAGCAAATCATTACATAATCTCTGAAGCTCTGGGGTCCCTACATGACAAGGGAATTTTAAAAATAACAAAGGGGACAGTGTCATAAAACTACTTTGAGAAATACTGTAATAGTATATAATACATAGAGGAACTGTAACTGTAATTCTGGTCTAATTAAAAGGTTAATTCATAGAAATGATTCCCTCCATCAAACATCCCTTGTCCTCGTCCTAATAGAATTCCTGATTCTAATTACAAATATTAGTATGGATGAGTAGTAGTCTATCAAACTGAGTAGTAATCTATCAAACTGATTTTCCCTTTTTGGAAAGTCAAGGATCACAAGCATAGTTGCAGGAGATGGTCTAAATGGACAGCGCAATTCATAAGGCAACTATGAGAAATACTACTGTAGCACGTAGTATTTAATATTATACAATCCCTACATGCACATATAAATATGCTGCTTTTTCTAAAATTTGGATTTCTCAGCTGAATCCAAGTGACCACTTAGTGACCACTAAGTCTTATTGGAAGATAATAATATTCAGATTCACTATAAAAAATTTGTTATATTGTTCATCTCTTTTGGGGATTGCTTGTAAAATGACTGCGATTTCCAATTTCTGCAACAATAAGTAGCAACAATCATCCAACATAGTTGCTAGGTTAGATAAGCAACCATTTAAAACCCCCAAAATGTGCAGTAGTAATGATAATACAGACAGTCCTTGACTTACCATAGTTCATTAAGTGATCGTTCTAAGTTACAATGGTGTTGAAAAAGTGATTGATGACTGACGACCATTGCAGCATCCCTATGGTCCCATAGTCTAAATCTGGATCCTTGGCAACTGACACATATTTATGACGGCTGCAGTGTCCCAGGGTCATGTGATCCCCTTTTGTGACAAGCAAAGTCAATGTGGAAGCCAGATTCACTTAACAAACAGGTTACTACTTTAACAACTGCAGTAATTCACTTAACAACTGTGGTAAGAAAGGTCATAAAATAGGGCAAAATTCTCTTAACAACTGTCTCATTTAGCAATGGAAATTTGGGGCTCAATTGTAGTCATAAATCAAGGACTATCTGTAAAGAAAACCATGTACTTGATGGTATGAAAATCAACTGCAAAAACACGAAATGAAAAAAAGATCAACCAGATATTATATTCTAATTGTTTAATCTCCGATACTGACAGAAGAAAGAAAAATAAAAGCAAATGCTAATTAAATATCCTTTTTAGACAAGAGCAGCTCCTGCTTGTTTTTATTCATACGCTGTTGTTCGCAGCTGGTTTTTTTTGTTTAAATGCTGCTTTCTCTTTTCAGAGGTCAAATGTGATCGACCAAAAGTGGAAAATGGGAAAATAACTGATTTATTTAAGCCTTCATATACCTATAATGAGGCCATCGGCTTTGAATGCAATTCTGGCTATTCTGCTGTGGGAAGCCTCCATATTAAATGTGGGGCTAACAGTTCGTGGGTTCCTGCCAGCCCCAAATGTGTCAAAGGTAACTATTTTATGGTCCTACACGAAAGTTGGTTTGACATTTAATACAGAACATTCTGTCTGGCTAATCTGAACCATCATTTTCTGCTTTTTCCCTAATTATTGCCTCTGCTACTCACTCTTTTCCTACAAGTAGTGGCCACCACTGTTCATTCAGATGACAGGTCTTATTGACTAAATTATTGGAAATATGCCTATGTCCCTACAGTTCTCCATACCAAAAGGGACTTGATTTCCTCTTAGTCTTCTCTTGTATAAGAAAATTGTTATACATACAACCCTTTTAATTAAATAGTAATAACTCAGTTGCTTCAAAAGAGAAATATGTACACAAACCATTTTGGTCCAGTGAATGAAAAACCTCCCTACACACCTGATTCCTCCTCCTGCTTTGGCTAGATTCATCCTTTCAGAATGTGGTATTTGACTGCCTTGTCGATAGTTACAGATTAGGATCCCATTTAGTTAAATTTCCCTACTGGATGAGACTGAAATAAGAGATCAAATCTTGGGAAGCAGAAAGATGGAGGCCTCCTATGAAGCTTACTCAATAACCATTGGTCTCTGTCCAGGCGTGATTTTGCACACTCACTTATTATACCTTCATTCCAAATCTGAATTATATAAGTAGAGCTTTTGTCTAACCATAATATGAACAAAGGATGGCCAGGAAAACAATATGTACATTGTGCTAAGCCATGCTTTGTTAAACTTTTGTTTATTTGGCATGCCAGATTAAGTGGATATAGCTAAGCTATAAAGCATGATTTATAAGGTGAGATCACAAATTATGCTACACCAAAATCCAAATGGTTTCTGAATCCTCTGGTGCATAGTTTCAGAATGGGATACAACACAAGCACCATGCCAGGAAATACAAAAGTTCAAATCTATCAAGTTTCTGCAGTAATTTTATTTATTTGTTTATTTAAGGGTGATATGGTAGTTTTTTTTTTATTAAGTATCCATTAAATGACTTAAAAAACACAATGTTGAAAGTGCTTCTGAATACATGCAATTTTCATGTTGAATTATGAGCTGCTTTGGGTGATAGTATTGGTTGCAAAATGGGATAAAATTTAAGTCAGAAAAATGAGAAGGATGCCTCAGACCAATGCCATTATTACAGACAAAAGATTGCCTGAGCTTGAAAGTTTCTTGTTACAATTCTTGGGTAAACTCAGTTTTTTCTAGTATATAATCAATACTATAAAATGCTAACATAGAGAGCATCCCTACCACTCTAGTACAACGACTGATGTTGAAATTTTCATTCAGCCTCCAAGGTCAATTTGTGGATATAAGAGCATTGTTGGGTACATGATAAAATGACCTTTATATAGGCCCCCCTTTTCTGGCCACCCATCGAATGTTCTTTTTTGGTCTGAAATTCATGTAATACTGGGGAAATTTTACTAGGAGAATTTCCGGTGCCTTTTGATATACAATATATTGGCTTCTGCTGTTGGCTTTGTTGGGAATTGCCCTGGTACAATACAGATGGAAAAACAAAGAAGGTACTTGATGGTGGCCATATCTGAGGAAATTTAGCTGCAATATTTTGTTAGAACATGGTCTCCTCAACACACACAAACATACACACATACACACACAAATACAAATGGTTTGTGGCTTTATAAATCATCCCACACTTTCATTATAAATCTCCTTTTATTACTCCTGCTTGAAGAACCTTCTTATCAATTTCCAGATAACTGCACCTCTCCCATACTGCCACCTCATTCAACCCTTAAGGAAGACATCCCAAAAGAAGGCTATCCAGTTGGGACTAACCTGACATACCACTGCAACACAGGTTATGAATATATACCTGGAATTAACCCTTCAATTACATGTCTGAACACTTCAAAATGGACTGAAATTTCAGAATTGTGTCAGGGTGAGTATCTTCATGATAATTCCATTCTGAAAAATATATCATCAGTGTTTATATTTCCTATATCTTAGTCTTCGCTTGCTCCTCCCAAACATTAATATAAGTCCAATAAAAATACAAAACTAGCAACTTGTTTTGTGCTTCATATATCCTAGCTGAGATCCACAGCATTCTAATATATTCTCCAAAGCACCTGAGGGCAGGACAAGAAGCAATGGACGGAAACTAATCAAGGAGAGAGGCAACCTAGAACCAAGGAGAAATTTCCTGAGAGTTAGAACAATTAATCAGTGGAACAACTTGCCTCTAGAAGTTGTGAATGTTCCAACTCTGAAAGTTTTTAAGAAGAGATTGGACAACCATTTGTCTGAAATGGTATAGGATTTCCTGCCTCAGCAGGAGGTTGGACCAGAGGACCTCCAAGGTCCCTTCCAACTATTCTATTCTATTCTATTCTATTCTATTCTATTCTATTCTATTCTATTCTATTCTATTCTATTCTATTCTATTCTTTACAGTGAGTTAATAATGATTGAAAACAGGAAGAACAAATTCCTTTCTTTCTGAAAACTACCTTATATGGGCAAGAGTCTAATCTTCATTGGATGTATCTTCTGCAATCAGGATCGGGCTTATACAGAGTCCATCTATACACTCCAGAAAGCTCAGATTATGGTAAATTGAGTTTTGATAAAACCATGTGAAATTCAGAAAGGAACAAGACAGAGTGTCCTTTATCCCCTTTGTTATTTATTGTAGTGTTGGAATTATGAAATATCTCTACTGAGCACTCGCTTCATTAGGCTAAACATATCTACTTTCCTTAGCCATTCATTCTATGACTTAGTCTCTAGCCCTCTTACTATCTTTGTTGCTGTCCTCTGCACTCTTTTTGGGGTCTAAGCAGTGGTGGGATTCAGCCAGTTCGCACCACTTCGGCAGAACCGGTAGCTAATTTTTTGTTGCCCAGGCCCAGAATGGACTTCCAGAAGTGGCATCCACACAGAGAACCAGTTGTTCACATATTTGAATCTCACCACTGGGCCTAAGCATCTTTTTTATGTCATGGTGACCAGAACTGGACACAATATTACAAATGTGGCCTCACTAGTGCAGTATAGGATTTAGAATTTAGGTTAACATTACATCTTGGACACAGAACTGCAGCATTTCCACATGATAGGTTTTCTTTCTGTGGGGAACCTTTATTTCCAATCCTCGGATGTACCAGATCTGCATCATTTCTACCCTTCTCTGAGAAACTGCATAATAACATACATGCTAATTATTCTTCCAGGGGAAAAATGTCCCGCTCCAATTATAGAGAATGGCAAGGTAGATGCTGAGGATGACGCCCGCCTTGGTGGTAGTGTCACTTTCTCCTGTGTACCTGGGTGAGTTGTAGTTCATCTCTTAAAATAGTTGCCTTAGAAACAATAGCCACAAAAATCAGTTAAAAGTAAAATTAAGTTTGTTCTAAATTGTTCTTCTCAAATGTAATATATAAACAGTCTACCTCCTTAGTTTTTGTATATAAATCAAGAAAAGTACGTCTACCTGCTGCTTTTCTATACGAATATAAATCATTTAGTGCGAAATAAAATGAGTCCTTTGCTCCCAACTGTGGAACATTCACCTAGATAGCATTTATTCTGCTTGTCTGAGACTTTTTTAACCCGCTTCTTAAAAACTGCTTCATGGGACTCCTGCTTCTTTAATACTCTATTTTCTTTAAATATTTTTATCATCATTATTTTGTTTATTTGTTTGATCATTTATCAAATTTAAATACCACTCATCTTGCTCTCTTATAATTCTTCTTTCCAATAAAAACTTTTTATTAGTTTTTCAACTAACCCCCCCATCAAAGTCTTAATACAAATATGGTATACGTTAATAAAAATCATATTAAATACAGACATAAACATTTCAGAGCAGCTCGGCAGCCCCCCCCTGCATCCACCCTCTCTTTCACCCTTCCTACCTACTTCCCTCCTCCCCTCCTATCCTCCTACCTACACCTCTCTCCTCTTCAACCACCCCACACATCCCACCTCCTTCCTTTCCTCATCCTTCGGATGCAGTTTGGGGGTACTGGCCGAGCACCTCCTTTTCATAAAACTTTACATTATTTCTCTACAACATTTTAGTACACCAACTTTTACATATCTCTACCCTCCTTCCCCCCCCCCCCCCCCCCCCCCCCCCCCCCC